CAACGTCAAAAAACGTCAACAGATGTTATTCCGAACGAGAAGTTTGAATTGAAGACTTCGGCGTCATCCAGCAGCAGCACGCCAAAGAGCTCGGCCGTTTCGCAAAAAACGCAGTTGATCACTCAGGGCCAGGATCAGGAAACCAAGGAGAAGCTGGAGCAGTTGGAGAAGCGAGTGGAGCAGCAAAGGCTGAAGATCGAGGAGCTACAGGCGAAGAAAGCGCAGCAGGACTACGAGACGATTGATGAGATACCGGAGCGACATGACGAGTCTGAGGATGAACAGCAGCTACCGCTCAAGAGAGTATTTGTGAAACGGAAACAAAGCATATATGATGAGGAGCGGGAATATAATGATGACACAGAAACGATAAAAAGCAATCTGATCCAAGCAGAAAAGGAAGAGACGGAGAAAGTTCCGTTGAAAAAAGAGGAGAGTCCTACCGTGGAGGAAACGTTAGAAAATGTTCAGAAAGAAATTCAAAGTACAGTGAGCGGTAATAGTACTACTACGTCAAGTAGTACACCAATTCCGAAGAAGGGTCCAACTATCTCGAGCAACAAGGTGTACTCGAACAAGCGTTACATGATTGTCAAGCCCGGTGACACATCAGAGGTTGAGGAAATGAGTCGGGAATTGTGCAGTATTTTCGAGACTACTGACAATGTAGTGAAAATTCAAGAAACAGTTTTAAGTAATCTCACTCAAATTTCTGGTATCGCAACGTCGTCAACGTCAGGTACATCTGTGAAACGAAAGACTGACTCTGCGATAGTTGATGAGCAGTTGGATCAGAACAGTGTAATAAATGAAGAGGATATTAAGCAGGAGACGGCGATGGAGGTTGAAGTCGCGCAGGAAACGGAGATCAAATTGGATCCTGAGGTGGAGGAATCTGCGCAGATCATCGCCGTACAAGAGGAGAGTCAACCTGACTCTGGCACTATCGCACTGGACACTCAAGATCTTTCAGAGACTGCTTCGATCTTTGAGGCATCAGACGACGTTTTAGATATACAGAAATCGGCGAGCGATAATCTGAACGAATCCGTCATTGAATTGTCACAGGGCAATAACACTATCAATTTGAATGATACTAATGATAGCCAGGACAGTTTGGAAGACAAGCTTTCACAGATGGAAGGTTGAAGGTTTGTTCTTTTTTTCTTGGTTGAAGTGTTTTACTAAGTAAAAATTATGCTCCCGAATTATGTTCGCTGTAAGATTCTCAAGGTCTCTTGCTCAATTGGTAATTAATTTTAATATTTGATAGTATTAAAATTAATCACTATTTAGTTTGGACGTCAAACGTTAGCATATATTAACGTTCTAGCATTGGACAGTATTATTAGTTGCTCTCCATTTACACCGATTCTCAGATAATTCTTATTTGTGACGTCATAACTTGGTTGAATGCGCGTTTCTTTTGCATTCTGACAAGTGAAATTTAACTGAGTTTTTGCCTAGAATCTGCACAAGACTTTTATAAGTCTCGTAAATTCATTTTAAAAATGAGATTATGAACTTGTGCTGTTATGTAAAATTTGCGTGAGATTACTTAGAACTGTTTCTTGTATCTTCACTATCAGTATCTTCATTGTCAGTAGTCTCGAAAATACTGCACAATTCCCGACTCATTTCCTCAACTTTTTACGTAGTAAGCAAATAATGACATTATTAATTTGAGTATGAAATACTCACTTTAGATTCAATTGTGTGTAAATGGAAAACAACTATTGATATCGTACAATCGAAATCGTTTAGTGAGTTAAAAAAGTGATACAATGTTGCAGTTATAAAGCAGTTAAAAAATTGCGTATAAAATGAGTTTGAATCATTTAATAAAAATGGATTATTTTACACTTTAGCTACAGAAGGCACGTATGCACGTCTTGAAAAAGTAGCTTTTCATTTGTATGATGTATGATGATTTTTGATCGACTATAAAAAAATCAGTATATATACGATTATATTTTACATAAGTTTTTTGTTAAGACACGTTGCATGATAAAGGAATAGAAAAATCAAATTTTAAAAACTTGCTTGAACTTTAATTATTTTAAAATAATACTTATATTAATATATATAAAGATATATATTATATAATAATTAAAACAAAATTTTTTGAATTATGTATATTAGAATTACATTTTACTATATTATATATTATAATATGTGTATATATTAATATATAATATATATTATAATTATACTTTTATGTGTTAAAATATTAATATAACTTTACAACAAAGAATCTAAATATTTTATTCTTTTGTAATTTTAGCTTCTATAATTGACTTTAATCTCTTCTAATTATTTTGAGCTTCCATCTCTATATGATTATCAATACTTATTGATATTATGAGATATTATCAATTAATTTCTTCAAATATTATATGACATTTTAATGTTTCTTATATCCTAATATACAATTTGACTTTGACAATACTATTAATATTTAGAATAATAACGCTAATTTCCAATTGCGCAAGACGAGAATCTCGACGATTTAAATTGACAGCATTAATATACCCCATGATAATGTATACAGATATTAAAATTGATCGTATGATACTTTTACAGAAGAATATTGTTGCATTTTTTCATTCAAGCACTTTTTATAATTAAATCGCTTTAATATCGGAGCTCGGTGATCGCGCTTGTTTATTAAAATCACATCAAAATTTCTTTCGTATGTCTCAATTTTTTTTGTCCAAAAACAACCGATATATCGAAAATAATTTGAATGAATCATTCATCGTGCGAATGTGACGAATGTTAATTATTTTAATTATTTAACGCATCGGGATTATGTACATTTCAAAAAGATTTCATTATCTGAAATTTTTTTTGTAGGTATACAATTATTTTTATTATTTTTCTATGAATAACTCGAAAAGTTGCAACATTCTGATGTATTATATTGAGTTTATCTTATTTAACTTGTCTTGATTACAAAATTTAATTCACATTGTGTTCTCGAAGTGAAAATCACTTTTTGGATTTCTGGAAAACTGTGATCTTATTTGTTTGTTTTGATCCTTTATTTCGACTTGGTACATTCGCAATAAAGAGAGAACAATTGTAAATATAAGGTCAGCTATCGGATGGTTTTATTGGCTCCGACTTGCGAACTGTATCACAGTTGTGAAAACATGTCTGTACATACCATGTCTCCTGACGGTTTCCTTCATTCGCGCACGTTCGCTTTCGTTAACTAAATAAAGAAAAAAGAAAAATCATGATCCCCTGATCGCGCAGTCATTGGATTCGTCTTCTTTTTAGCATTAAGGATTAGTACATAGCCAGAACCAGTTGCACCAATCAACTGTCATTTGCCTGGAACATTTCCTCTCGATCAGTTAAGCTTTGCTTATTTTTAAATATAAGCAATATATAATTCATTTACTTCAACATAATTATATATCGATAACATATGAAAATGTTAGAATAGTTTAACTATTTTAGATTGTAGTTTTGTTTCTATATATATAATTTTTGAAACAAAAGATTAAGGCTCGGTTATTCCTTTTGATAAATTTTACCTGTTGGGTAAGTACAAAACAAACAAAATTACCCAATCACATGCACGGATTGTCAGATTTACCTAACAGATAAAATTTACCAAAAGGCGGAATAATCGACTCTTAGTTAATTGATTTAACTTTTAGAGTCGATTAAAATTAACATGAGTTAACAATTAAAAGTGATCTGTTTAATCTACAATTAAATTAATCCTTTTTTTGTGCTACTGTATTTAGAATAATTGTAGACATTATAATTTATTCTTTCCTTTTTTTGATTTTTCTTATTGGTGCAACGGACTCTGATTCTGTAAGTCAACATATTTCCAATAAAGTTTGGAACATAACTGATGATTATATAATAGATATATATTATGTTCACAATAATCATATTCAATTTTATTTCGTTAAACTGTAATAATAAAACGATAACATGTTAAATGATAGGTTATCCGATTCTGCAAGATATTTGGAACTATACATGAAATAATATACAAAAATGTGTAAGTTAGAAAGTCCACCGCGATATTTATTGCGCCTGTTCTCCATCCCATCCTCTTCCAAACAACAAATATGTAAACAAGATAGTTCAAAGAGAGAAAGAAAGGTAAGAATTTAATATATAATTATTTACATACAATAATTATATACATAAAATATAGATATAATAATCATAATCATAGTGTTTTATTTATGACGAAAGGATAATAATAATCAGAACAATTTGTATAAAAACTTATATATTTTATTCCGTACAACACATTATATATAACTCACATTTACGTCATTTATGATATACAATATATATATTCTCTAATGATTTTTATTGACACATAAATATTCGTATATTACGCAGTATTTTTATTTACGAAAGAAATGCATGTTTTTATTATCAGTATAAAAAATATATATGATGAATCAAAATAGTCATGATTATCGATTTGACGAAAATTAGTTGCGATATTTTTGCGATATGCTTATAAGGAATTAGTGATTTTTTAATCAAATATTTTACAAATTTTTTAAATAAGCTTTCGTGTATCGATATTTTAGAAAGTATATCTACAAAATTGTGGGCAAAAAACTAGAAATAAAATTACTTATAAGTATTAAATTTTAATTGATTTCGAATTAATCAAAAAGTCACGCAAATATGCAAATAACTAAACAAATGGGAAGATAATGATTTATTTTATTATAAAATAGATAATTTAATTGTGATTGAATTTTTAATATTGAAATGTAATTACGATGTACAACATCGTAATTAATTTTAATTAATAACTAAATAAATTATTAATGGTTGATTTAAGGTTTGAAAATTTTGTTCATATATATGAAATGAGAACAATGATAAATATTTAAAAATAAATTATAGAAGTATTGTATTTGGAAATTTTGAGTCATACTAATTAATAGAAACACATTCGTTGAAGTATAATTATGGAACGTGTCAATTGCTGAAATTAGTTTATACGTGGATTTAAGCAAATTGCATGATTTTTCAAGTGATTGATTGATTGAAATGTAGGAAAATTTAGCCGAAAGTTAGGTCGGTCGATTATCAGTGGTGTTATCAAAATGCAATCTTGTGCAATAAATGACTATGTCACCCAATGTAGATATCAGTATGAGATATCGGCAAGTGAAATATTTTGTAACGATCTCTTTGGCTTTCTTCACATTCTTATCTTTCGCGATTATAGGATAGTTTATATGAGAATGTCGTATAATTAAATTTTTGAAAGTTCAGTTTATGCAATGAAGAATATTGTGATAAATTGGCACAAAATTATAGACAAAGATAGATTTTCTTATCGCTCCAATATTTTATAAAGAAATTTTCTTGAGAAATCCATTTTCGATTTAATTAATTTAGCTGCATTTAATGCTTCTTGTGATTATATTTGATTGATTTTTCAAATTATTTAACATCAAAAGCTTTTAAAGTTACATTAATACTTTTTGTGTTGAACTTTTAAAAAATTTTAATTATATTTAATTGTATCATAAAAATTATACATTTTATTTCAAAATTGATTGAAATATGGATATTTATGTCTTTAAATGGTCCTATATATATCTTCAATGTTAAATAAAAATCGATGTCACGATCACGTTCTAAAACCACTCTGTCAGTAAGCTGTGTAATTTCATTAATTTCAGTTTTGAAACATACACCTGCGGTTTTTATATTATATATATAAAAGAGTCGTCTGATAGTTCTTATCACATAGACAGGCGATTGGCGAGTTGGCAGAAGAAGATGGTTAGAGTTGGTTAAAGCATCAAGCGGGATTGATGTTTTTCCTGTTGGTAAGAGTCTGGAGCTGTAAAATAAGGATGTTTTCATCTTCACTGTTCTCTTTTTATTCTTATTTTCTTAAAATGGAAGTTCTATACTAGACGAATCGCTAGATCACTCTTGTATGTCTGTCATCTTCGTATCTTAAAGTCCGCCACGTCCGCTGTCAATGTACTCGAACCTCTGTGGGACAGAGACGATCGTGGGCTTAGAGTGGAAGTCTTATCCCAAGAAATAGTACATTCAGATGCACAGTGCAAAACAGTTGCTAGATTTTATATAGAATTAAGAAAGAATGCGGAGTCATGAAAATTTTACAGCAAATTTGTCTCTTGTATTTCATCATTTCTTAAAATATTTTTAGACGATTATTTTTCTCTTTTTAACTTTATTTTAATTTATGAAGGAAAATTAGTATATGAAAAGTCATCTTAAAAATGAAATTTTCCTCTAAAAAAAAATTCACTATTTTTTGGAGAGTAAGAATGATTTTGTATTTTTATTATCATACATTATAAGCATGCATGAATTTTATTCTAAAATATTCTGCTTCGTAAGAGGATTGGATAATTATTTATGTTCCCAAAACAAAGTCCCATCATAAAAAAAAAATCAAAATTCTCTAAATAATATTAATAGAAATTTAGAGATAAGAAATTTAGAATTAAGAGAAAAGTTAAATGCGTGTATTTCAATGCAGCGTCTTTCATGCGGAATTAAATGCTTGTTAATTTATAGGAAGATGCCAGACTTACATTATATCTAAAAATTATATTCGCCAACCATCTTCAGACACTAACAATTTGAAACAAAAAATCGAAAGCTCGAAACTTAATTTAAATATTTAATTTTTATTTATTGAGAAATTTAAAATGTTTGACTAAATAATTAAATTAAGAATTTATTAAAAATTTGAAAAATTACTAAAAATGATTGAATATATTTTTTCATTAATTTATTTAGAAGATTGGAAAATTTATTACAGAAATTGAAAAATTAATTTAAACTTAATACATTAGACTAAATAACAAAATTACAAGATCTTGACAAAATATTTTTCATTCGTGTCTGAAAATGGTCTTACGTTCTTGTGGTATAATATACCTCCTTTTCCTCGGTGGAGACGGAGGCATAGGTCCTGGTGGGTGCTTCCGGTTGCTTGGCGGGTCCGATAGCATGCACGTAGAGGAGTGCACCGGCCATACCGCCCATAATCGGACCCACCCAATACACCCAGTGATCTTTGAAAGCGCCCATCACCACGGCGCTGCCCAGCGAACGTGCCGGATTCATCCCTGCACCCGTTCGCGGTACCTAATTATTAAAAGTTATTACAAATGTATAAAATGATTACGAAAACGGAATTAATTTTTAAATTTCTTTCATTTTTTAAAACTTTTTTTTTGAGGAATTATATATAGAAATAAGGTATTAATTCCAAAATTAATTATCAATTCTAATTTGTATAACGATTTTTTAGAGTATACAATTTTAAAATAAATTTTGTATCAGAGGATAACTGAATTATAATTTAATTCAATTTTGACATGTCGGATTATTCAATTAAATTAAATTTCTTTAATATATAAAATCAAAGTAAAAAAATTGACTTAAAATAAATAGGAACTAGTTTTGTGATTAGAATCAAACTTACTCCGACGAGATGACCAACAGTGACCGCCACACCGATTATGAGGGGCGTGATGGCCTTGTTGTCCGGTTTAGCGGCATCGCATACCCCGCAAACTACTAACACCAAGATCAACGCAAGGAAGAATTCCACGCCGAATCCTTGCACTGGAGTGATCCCTTCAGCAAGCTTCACCACGCCTAGAAATTCCTCCAGTTTGTCATTCGAAAGAGCCCTTAGAATCGCTGAACCTGCGATAGCGCCCGCGCATTGCGCCACAACATACAAAACGCCTCTAATAATTGGAACCTGCGATTACGAATCAGAATCTTGTTAACTCAATTATAATTCAGGTATACCTGAAAAAGGTTAAAAAATACTAGAGCAAAAAAAGAAAGAAATAGATTTTAATATTAATTGAATAAATTTTATATATATATATATATATAAAATTATGAACATTATTATATAGATATATAATTTAATTTTAATTATTTACATAATTTAATTATATAATTCATATAATCATATAATTAAATTATGTAAATTATCTAATTTGAATTAAGTTTTAAATTATATAATTATAATTATGTAATTAAGTTTAAATTATTATACTATATAATTCAGAGTATTGATAGGTATTTGATTTTTTATTAATAGAATTATTACAGAATTTGTTTTGAATATCCGGATGGATTTTTATAGAAGATGATCGATTTTCATTGCGAGGTATCAAATGAGAGTTCTTGAGAGTTTTCTAGGATAGATTTCATTTGTGGAATAATAGACAATTCTCAGTTTACACATGATACGCATGCAATGTATCAGATTGACGCGCTTTAACTAGCTACTTAGGTCACTGTGGTGTGATTACTCAGGAACAAAGAGATTTTAGATAGAACAAGTGTTATTAAAAAAAACTTATAACATTAAAGCTTAATAAAATTAATATTCAATAAAAATAGTTCAATAATATATATATTAATTTAAGAATTTTAAGCATAGATGTGAAAACAAATACGATAAAGAAAACCAAGAACGGTCAAAGTTGGATGTTTCAAATAACATTATGTATTATTTGAAAACATCCAACTTTGATCGTTCTTCTTTATCGTATTTAATATACATTAATAAAATATTCAATAAAAATATTAAAATTTTTATTGAATATTATAAAACTTACCTTCCCAATGACGACGAGACCGAGCGTGACCGCTGGATTGACATGACCTCCGGAGACGTGTCCTATCCCTTGAATTGCGCACGCTACCGTCAAACCGAAGGCCAGGCTGATGGCGGCAACATCTCCGGTCACCACGGCACCGCAGCCGAAGAAGTTCAGTAATAAGGTGCCTAAAAATTCTGCCAGAAGAGCACGAGGAAGACCGACCTTCTTATCGGTAAGCTCATCAGCACCCAAGGCATTCTTCAGATTCACCATCTGAGATATGTAAGTAAAAAATAAAATTAAGAACAAAATTATAAAAAAGACACATATTATTCGAATATAAAATATAGAATGAAAATGTTTATCTTTAAACAATAAACAAATTTAATATAGTCTTATAAGAGAACTGTCAGAATTGTTTATTTATCAATTTTGATGAACTTTAGATATGTTGTAAATTGTAGAACATTAAAAAATGTTAGATTCTTTTCTACTTATCTCAAGGTTTAGAAATCGAAATAATTCCTGGAGGTGAAGGTAAATTTTAAAAATTTGACATTTTCGCAAAATTTAAATTCAATACTCTGTTATTAAAAGTTATTAAAACATTGTTTTATATATCTCATACTTTCGGAGATACTGAAAATGAAAAAAATCATTATTTTTTAGAAGATTTTTCCTTGAGATAAGCAGATAAAAAAATATAGATCTAGTATTTTTTTATGCTCTACAACATATCCAAAGAACAATATAAAAAATGGTATCATTTCAGGGTCATACAATTAACGTAACATAGTTATTATATCGTTATAAGCACAGATTTTTTTAAATTGAGATTTGGCACGTTTCCAAGAAACGAAAGACATTTAATTCGCAATCGTCATTACGTATATGAATAAACGAAAGCATTTTAAGAGTTTGAAATTTAAAATGGACTTCCTTTTTGAGCTTTGACACTCTTCTTTAGCGACGTTTAGCGGTTCCGTTGATTGACGACGAGTGGATGTAGATCGAGGACGCAATGGTTTACGAGTGCGACAAAAGCTTCGACAGGCTGCATTACGTATGTAGATCGTCACATCCTCATCTCGAACGATCGGTTCGAATTACCTAATCGCGCCAAAGCTCGCTGATCGTCACCTACGTAGTGCGTAGGTGACCTTTTAATTAAAAACAGCCGTGTTTCTTTTCTAATCGAAATAAAAAGCTCATATATTTAAACATCCGTATATGTATTCTATAATTTACAATTACAATTTTTTTGTACTATTAATATTATCTATTACAATTTAAAAAAAATAAATAGCTTCTTTAGAACAAAGAATAAGGAACTGGATTTGTTTTTAGTGTCTTATTTAAGTTTATTTCTGAGCTGTGACTTTTTTCGTGATTCATCATTTCGTTCATCATACGATTTATTTTCCTGATAAATGCTTTAAGCAAACCGTCGTCAGGGACAACCGAGTTGTCTTCCGAGTTTGTCTTCCAAAAAATTCCATTTAGTACGCGGATTACGTAATTATATAGGCGTCATTACTAAAGTCGTGAGCCGAGATGATCTGATCTTACAGATGATGTCACAGTCCGAGATTGTTCTTCCTTTCGTCCGCCTAACTCTGTCATAAAACTATTTGTCGCTCATACGGCCGATTTGCTAAATCGTACCGTTACGTCTGAAAGAAACCGGATTTATTTAGAAAAAGTTTTTCGTTTTCAAGATTATTTTTTAAGCTAAAATTTTCGAGAGTATCAATATATCATCGTTCATCATATTTTCTAAAGTTTCGTGCGACTTTCTGTCGCTATTTATGTATTTCATCCGGGGATGACATTATTAACTGAATTAATAAATTCCGCCAGACTAGCAATTTGACCGGCTTGTAAAAGTACAGTTTACATTCGCACGTTAATATAAAGGCGCGTGACTGTACGCTAGAATTCTGTTTGAATCAAATCATTATTTCTTATCGCGTTTGTATTTATTTTTTCTTCCATTTATTTGGTCATGATTATGCGATTGCGGGGTTTATGTTTTTATAAATGTATTTATTTATATTACGACCTTTAATCAAATAGAAAACGCAAATTCATGTTGTTGACGCGAATTGCGCAGTAATACATTAAAAACAATTATTTTTTATTTGTGCTAGCAGTTCTCTGCACGTTGTTACGGAAATTTTGTAAAATTTAATAAAAAAATGCAAATGATTACTTAAAAAAATTTTCTGAAAAATTTCACAAGATGAAAATATCTTTTAGTCTTTATATTGGAAAATATCTAAATTCAAAGATATTATGAAATCTATCAATTTATTCACTCAATTCGTAATGTCAGTTCATATTATTAATTATTTTTATATTGTTGTTATATTTGTTGCTATTTATTTATTTAATATTTGCATATAATAGTTTATATTTAAAAATATAATTTTATCCATTTTTGAATTAAATTTGTATGATTTTTTAATTCTAATTATATCTGTTTAATGTAAATATAATGTAATTATAGTTTCTTTTTAAGACTATATGGAAAGAACGATTTTTGCTGAAATAAGTATAGATCTAAAAATAATTTTGTTTGACCATCAAAATAATTGTAGGCATTCGAGATGACAGAATGATTAACAGAATGTCAAAACTTCCACGTATATAAGTGTTTTATGACTCGAGTGTGAGTGCTTCAAAATTTATTTCTGGAATATTTAAATTTTTTCATATAACAACAATTTCTTAGGTTGTATTTCGATATTCACTGTCAGTGCTGAAAATCTGTAGTATACATTACGTATACTAAAGATTTTCAGCATTGGCACTGAACATCGGAACGCAGCCCCAGTATCAATTATTTCAATCATCTGTCAACAATCAAACGGTTGCTATAACAGAAACGGTGCAACATGAATGTGCTATAAATAGATAACGAAACCTCGAAAGTTTCCAACCATTCTCGTTCCATCGGTTTTTCTGTTATAAGTTTTTGCTATTCTTCCATACTGCCCCTTTTAACTTCCTTTTCACACGCTTCGCTACATTCGAGATGGCGAACAAAAAGAGTCCTTTACCGTACGATTATCGATATCGCCTTCCACCTGGCGGTAATAAAAAACCCCCTTCGTTCTACCATATCCGAGAATTCACCGTAGATTTGTTCTTTTATGATTGCCGACTGTTCCATGAAAGCGAAGACTGGTTGATTCGGAAGCATAAATCACTCGTTAGATCCTCCAGTGATTTATCGGTAACCGTTAGAGAGATCGTTATCTCTATATGGTCTTGTCAGGATTTTTCCCCTCTACTCATTTTATCTTTTCGTTCTGTTTCTCAGTGGACACTGTACGATTTCTTTTCGCTCCCTTTAAAGGATCGATCGACGATTGACCATGTCCGACTGGTGATCCACTCGTTCCACTTTAGGCTGAAGCTATAATAGCCTTTTCGTTGCATCGTTAATCGGCGAAGGCTTAATTTGGCTTAAATTAAATTAATGGAATTTTATCTTGGAATTGAGGACATTTTAAAAATTAAATTTGCATTAAAATTATTAAATGTATCAGTTTTAATTTTTCTCCAGACAGATTTAAGTTTAATTTTCAAATTATTCTTTTATTACATATAAATTGTTGCATAATTGTTATAAATTGTTTACATAATATATATAATTAATTTCCAGTCAGTTTTAAATTTAATTTTTAAATCATTTTTCTGATTACATATGCGTACACACACACACACACACACACACACACACACAAATTATATTTATATAATTTTATTACATAAATTCTTATTTATATCTCGATTTTTTATTCTTATTTACGAGATCACAGTTTCAATTAAATTTTTATCGTATTTAACCCTTAATTAAATTCAATTGTTTATATTTATTTAAAAAATGTTCTAATTTACACAATAATTGCGTAGCCAATTGGTAGTGAAATCATTCATTTAATAATTTATTAATAAAATAAATTCCTTTTGCAAAGGATATATAGTTTATATAACGAGGATATATAGTTTATATAACGTTTATTAACATTTTTTTATATCAATTGATAATTTTTTCTTTCAAAATTAAAACCTATGAGACGAGTATTTATTGATGGTGGAGATACTAAAAATTATAGAGAAACATGGTGCATGACTTTTGTGAAAACAACACGATAAAATAGCACGATAAAATAGAGAAAATAGCTGAGACGTTCATATGAACGTCACGTATTTACCAGAAGAGACCATGATTGGCATACGTACGTCGCGTTAAATGCTAGTTTGATTTGAATTGCAAACGTTTCATTCTGCGTCTAACGTAACGCAATTTGTGTTTTGGACTTTGAAAGGCGGTCGAAATTATGATTTAGAAATATATGAAAAATTGGTCTTATATGTTTATTACTATTTATTACTATATCAAAACTATGTTTATTATTATTTATATCAAAGCAAATTATGTGATGTTTTATGTAATAATATATATAAATATATAAAATAACACTAAAGTTAGAAAAATTAAATAACACACGTTAGTCAGTATCTAAAAAAGAGAAACTGACTCATTTAGCATGTGTTTATATATTCTTAATTTTTACAATTATATATATATAATTTTTACTATATTTCTTTACTATATCTATTAAAGATTTATTCCATGACTAAATTGAATAAATATGCTATAAATAAAATAAATATTATAAACATAAATATAAGTAAAAAAATATAAGTAATAAACATAAATAAAGTTAAAAATGATGAATAAACATTCACTCACCTCGAAATCTGGAACTAACACGTGCAATTGATTAATAAATTCTCTCTAGTCTTGTTGACAGCTTCCTAAGAGACTTTTGACAAGTACTTGAAAATGTGTAAAATATTATTTAATAATTTTGTCGAGTCCTTTGAGATGCCTCCGAAAATTGTTTTATTTAAAAGAATCCTTTATTCTCTTTTATTAAAAAAAAAAGTCCTTTAGGAACCAACGAAACTGAGATGACTCCTTGAGAGCGACCGAGCGACAACTGTCGCAAGCTCTCGGGCCGATCGGGCCTCACGTAGATAGGTATCCGTACTAGTAACTCTACCGGCAGGCGAACAGCAAAGTAGTAGGGATATCACGGTTAAAAGTGGCGAGTGCATGAACACAAACAACGAGTCCATGCGTAAAATGTGTATGTACATACACGTTTTGATAAATAAAGGTTTACTGGACTTATACTTCCGGAAATGTGCCGATAAAATTGCAGTCAATGATCTCAGCTTTAAGATAAATTTTATATAAAATAAAAAATTCTTTTAAATTCTTTTGAGGAATAATTTAAGCTAGATTTTAAGAATTTAAAAAGTTTCTGACAGAAAACTTTAAAATTCTATTTAAATAAAATTAATTTTGAATAAACAAAAAGTTAGAAGTATATTTAAAAGAATGATTCACATAAATAATTATTTCTGTAGTTACTTAAAAAATAAAATTTGTTTATCTTTCGCAGTAAAACGATCGATAAAATTGTTATCTATGAAAATATTATGTTTGTAACGTTGATAAGATTGTGAATGGAAACTTCAATTTTAGAAAATAATAAATATCAAATCGTGAGTAACGATCTCTTCAAATTTCAAGAAAATTTTATTTAAATATTTATCTGTCGTGAGAAATATATTTTAATCTGGAATACATTTGTACTTTTTAAAATGTAAAATTGCTCGATTTCTTTCTCTGGAGAGACTACGTAATATAGCTTGTTTTTTATTCAAGCTTGTTTCCGATTCATCTCTTAACCTTTACACAATCTTTTTTGTCGATCTATTGTGAAATACGATCGCTTCAGGAAGTTAGTAAAGAAAGAAGCGAAACTTGTTTTAAAATGATCACATCGCCTGAAATATTTAAAAATCTGAACCGATAGAAAATACAAAGTACTGTACAATATTATTAGGTGTTGGAATTAATTCGTAGCGTTTTTTAATGAAAGAATGTTATTTATTTCACATGAGCATTAAAAAATACATTAATGAAAGTACTTCCCATCACTTGTAAAACGCTACGAATTAATTCCAACATCTAATAATATAATTAGATATTTTTGTATTAATCAGTAAACATGAATCAGTATATATACGTAAATGTAAAAGTTCAGACATTCTAAATGATTTTCAGCGGAGATGCGGAACGACACGGCGCAGTTTTTGCGGCAGCAAATAGCCTTTTTGCCTTTAACATTCTTTCGATCATACCTTTCCTGAGACGTGTAATCGGAAATGGTGTTTTCCCGGTAGGAAAAGGAAAGTACGGTTTCAACGGTACTTCCTTGCGATGTACGCGATGCATAACGAAGGGGAGATCACCTAAGCGCGACGACTACTCTGAAGATGATTTCATTGTAGGCTTAACCTATGATTAAATTCTACGATTTAATGTCTTTTTGTTAATTTTCCATTTATCTTTTTTTTATATTGTTCTTGGGACTAATATTTTTTAATTGCTAAACGATTTACTTGTAAAAGTAACGAAGAAAAAAGTAAATAATTAGAAGAAGGTGATTGAATTATGATTAAATTATGATTAAATTAGAAAATAATGTAATTTTGAAATAAAAATATTAAAGAAAATTGCTTTATAATATTTTTATTTCAAAATTACATTATTTTCCAGAATAAGAAAAACAAATTTCAAATATAAAAATTTCTTACGTCAAATATTGTCAATATTTATAAAATATTAATATCATTTTGCGCAGTATTCTTCTTTTGTCTTATTAAACTAAATTGCACGAGTAAGCCAAGTACCATTAAGACAATTGATGTATAATTGATGGCATTCAGAAAACGCGGGGGCGATGATAAATGTCGTGCGACGCAAGAAAATGTTAAGTAGCTACTCTCTTGATTGATTTGTGTAATCCGAAACGCGATTCATCTCATCATCCTTATGTATATTCATTGATGATGAGCCTCGCGCTCGCGCAAGTTTGAATAGCTGATAGATATAAAATTTATGATACTCACTTAATATCTGCCAAATTTTTTACAAAATTAGCTGTAATTTTGTTTTGAACACTTTTTAAATGCAGTTGTGAATAATAAAAATTAAACATACGTGTAATTTGTAAACGTATCAAAAGATTCTGTCTGCAGTATCCGTTCGCACGATGATTGTAACCGCAACAATGATGCGGAATTAACATGCTGTATTTTATCCGCCATTGTTTCTGGCCATGATATTCTAGTGAGACGCAAAATTACCACGAATAAGCCAATTAACCATCGGAGGAATTAAATAACAGCGGCTCCGAACAAAGCGTTCCTACAAGCTTTGTATTATTTCGTCTAAAGCATGGAACTATAATTACACTATGTTGCTAGAAAGAGAGCGAGAGAGAGAGAAAGAGAGAGAGAGAGAGAGAGAGAGAGAACAATTGTGCAACATGGAATGGCAGCATGCTTGGGGCTGCATAATGCAAACATGACGGCGCATATGCCGCGTAAGAGAGTCGTATTGTTAGAATTTGTTGTCATTGCCGTGCAGCTGAGTTCTTGGCCGTGTTGTCATCTGGGCGCTGAATCAAGGTTTATGCAGCTCACCTGCAAGTGTGCATATTTATTATATACTATAACGCTATGGCAAGCGAGACTGACAGGGGGAAGAACTAAGAGAAACTCGAGAACTTTTATGTTTTTAGGGATAATAAAAAATATCTATAAAATAAATAAAATAAAAGTACTCACAAAAAATAATTACAAAAGGAAAAGAGAAGAATTAATCAACAGAGATAGAATAAATTTGCTAAAAAAATAATAAAATTTAAGGAGATAAATTTAGTAATTAATTCCATGAAATAATATCTATTCGCTGCGAATCAATTGTTTAAATAACAGATTTGTTCGTTGTAAATGATATATTTGAAATATAGAGTTGAATAAACAAAATAATAACGCGAGTTCGGTGACACCAGACACGATTCTGATTTATTCACCAAAAGCAGATGAATCATCTTATGTTTTCCGAGTACATACATTCCGCAAAGCGGTACGACAAGATCGTCATCGTCATCGCCGAGTCATTACCGCTTTTTTTCACGTGACGATTGTACGCTGTCAACCTCATCGTTTTGTCCTTCCATCGACTAAGAATGTGTGAGATACATGTCAACGTTTTGTATACTAACCAATTTAAAAACGAGTTGTATTTTAACTCTGTTTTATAACAAACATATATAAGTATATATGTTTATAATACTATAAAAGTAACGAAGGAGAATCAATTTAATTTGATATCAATAATATTAAAATTAAATAAATCATTAAGCAATATTATATTATCATAAATATGTATTAAAATGGTTAAACTAGATCAATAATTTAAAAATTAGATATTAATATGATAGATCAGAATATAATATTTAAAAAATCAATTGTAGAGTTCGAAGCAGCAAAGTTTTAGTAACGTTTTATTGACGTCATTAAGACGTTATTAAAACGTCATTTAACGTCATCTTAATTGTTACTTGAGATAGTGGCGTTTAAAATCGCAGCTAAAACGTGTGAGTGGATTATTACTCTTGATTGTCGATCGTTCTTATATAAACTCACCATCAATGGATCTCGCACGTGGACGAACAATTCTTTTTTTCATTCTCTATCCGACCTCGTTGCAGCATTCTAGACTCAATTTAAAATTACTAGATGAATCATCAAGTATTGAAATTAAAATTACTATTTTGAGCTAAAATCGAGTAATGTATATATTATTACATATAACTTATGAGTACAAATACAAATGCATAAGTTGATTGTGTCGCGTTTTGAGTCAAAATGGCGGACAAATTGCGGTATTAACTCGACCGGAAAAGTCGCCTTGATCGCAATAAGACCACGATATTTCCTTGCATACGAATTGAGATCCGGATGTCATCGCATTTATTTGTCATCTATAAAGATAAGGAATATTTGTAACGTTTGTCATATTGAATTTTCTACATACATTTATCATATATTTTCTATATTCTTGTCTTATAGTTTTTATTTAATAGTTATTACTATTATTTTATTTAATTCGCTTAATTTTTCATATTTTCCCGTTCTATATCTACTTCTTAATTTATATTACAAATTCTACGATTTCATTAAATTGCGATGTAATTTCTGATTTAGATGGCTTCAGGTACAGATGCAAGTTTATATGATCCAAAACAGTTTCGCCGGGCACTGTTTTATGTTGGATTTTAAGGAGACAGCTTGAAGGAAACCAGGCATCCGAATATATGTCAATCTTCGTTTTATCTGAAAGAACTAGGCATGCGTGAGATTGAAAGATCGACTTGCATTATTCTGTCTGTCTCTTGCTGCAACATGAGAAGTCGTAAATATCCCAGAAATAAATTTGCGCGCCAATTAGAGCGACAAAGAGATATTTGCCTCTCAAATAAACTTGCGTATTTCGTCATAACGTTTCGTATAACATTTGAAGATGATAGATATGGACTCTTGTGTCTATTGAAAAGGCACCCGACGGTTCGACATAAATATCTCTTTAGGCGAATGATTAAAAACTTTTTTGTGATAGAGACAAGACATGGCGTCTCAAGTTTTTCATAGATTGGCGTGTACAATTATGCGACTTCCGCGAGCTTTCCTCAGGCGCGTCGCAAACCAATCGTTATGGGTGCAAGAAACTGCAGGTATGACGTATTCCATGTTCATCGCGCCCATCGGTTGACCTCACGTATGCTAATTGTCGCGATTTTATCTGCACGCGAACTTACCATATTGCCGGTTAACAGCTACGAAATAGAACACCAGGAAAAACTGCAAAGGAATTGAGAGACTTGATATAAATTTTAATAACTAAATCCTTTGTCTGATCTTAACCGCAAATTTTGAAAATGATACAGCTAAAATATTTTTTATAAAGGCAATCTTGCATCTTGCAACATCGAAAATTAACTTGTTTATTAATTATTACTTTTAACGACTAGAATAAAATGGATAGCTTTGAAGAAGAATGATGTAATTATGTGTTACGCGTAT